GCAACATGGATGGCGTTGGAAGGGATCATGCCCAGCAAAATAAACCAGAAAGAAAAAGAAAAATACTGGATGGTCTCACTCATAGCAAGAATCTAGAAAACTTAAATAAGGGACCAGGAAAATGAATAACTATAAGAAAGTGAAAATCAAAATCAACAAAAAACTATGAACCAGAGACACTCTATGGGGGGTAGGGGGCGGGAGGGGAGGGATTGGGGTCCAAATAAGGGGGTTGCAATTGTATGGGGAATATAAAAATAAAATTTATTATATATATAAAAAAGAAAATTTGCTGGAAGGATTGGAGTTTACAGAGTAGATAGGGAATGGCTGCTATAACAAAAATTCCAGATACTAGCTGACTGATTAACAACAAACATTTATTTCTTTTGGAGACTGGAAAGTCCAAGATTGTTGTACTGGCAAATTCTGTGTCTGGTAAAATCCAGCTTCCTCACTGCTGATCATCATCTCTCTGTAACCATACATGGCAGAAGGGGCAGGATAACTCTCATATAAGGCCTCTTTTATAAGGGCACCAATCCTGGTCATGGAACTTTGTGCTTATAACCTAATCCCAGAGTTCTTGTCTCCTAATAACCGGCATCTTGGAGTTTAGGATTTCAACATAGGAATCTGGGGGAGACAATGCAAGTATTCAGACCATGGTAGGATGGGGGTATAGCTCAGTGGTAGAGCATTTGACTGCAGACCATGGTAGGAGGCTTTCAGAATTAAGAGCTTGCTGACGAGAAACACAGTCATATAGCAGGAGCAACCTACTGCTGCACCCACTGAACTGAATATTGGTACTCAATATTTTCCGATATATTTATCCGTATTTTTGTCCAGCAGAAACATGGGTTGTTGCAAAACTTTTCTGTTACAAAGTGCTGCTATGAATATGTATATGTTTTTTGGTGCAGATGCACAAACTTCTCTTTAGGGTGAAATTGCCACATCACAAGATATGTTCTTACTCAACTCTATATAAGATGATACGTAATTGTTTTCTAAAGCAATTATGCCATTTTACACCCCCACAAAATTGTATAAATGTTCCTTTGCCTACATTTGCACCCACACTTCATTTCTCAAAATTTTATTTTAAAATTTGCATATGGTAACCTCTAGCTAGAGTCACTAAGAAAGAAAGGGAGATAGCTCTAATAAATGGAATCAGAAGTGAAAGAGAATTTAAAATAGACATCTCAGAAATACAGAGGATCATAAAAGACTACTATGAACATCTTATGCCAACAAATTGGAAAATCTGGATGATATAACACATTCTTAAGAGCATACACTGTTGATGGGAATATAGGCTGGTCTAGCCCCTATGGAAAAAATATGGAGGTTCCTCAAAATATGAAAAATAGATATGCAATGTGACCCAGCAATCCCGGCCCTATGTATCTATCCAGAGAATGCAGAACACTAATTCAGTGGGGTATATGCACGCCTATGTTCATTGTAGCACTATTTATAATAGCCAGGTTATGGAAACAGGCTGAGTGCCCAAAGGCAGAGGAGTGGATTAAGAAGATGTGGTATATATATGTAATGGACTACCACTCAGCTACATAAGAAAAAAAAAAAAAAGAACTCTTGCCATTTGTAACAACATAGTTGGAACTGGAGGGCACTATGCTAAGTGAAATAAGTCAGAAGGAGAAAGACAAATACAGGATGAGTCCACTCCTATGTAGAATATAGAGAAACGAAAACAAAGGAACTGAAAAATCTGAAAAACAAACCCTAGAAATATGACTGTAGAATTGAGGTTACTGGAGGGGCAGGGAGGTTGATGGAGAAAGAAAGGGTGCAGAGGGCCCAGTGGTCCCTGGTAAAGTATGATGAGTGATTATGGGTTGTGGTGTGGTGATATTCATTTGAGGAGATGTGAACATATTCCCCTAAATCATGTAATCATATACAGTATTGCCAACCAATGTTACCTCAGTATATATATACACACACACATATACATGCATGCACCTAAACTCTCTCGTTTATATATATATATATATATATATATGGTTTATATACTGTATATAGAGCCGTATATATCCATGTGTATGGTTTATATACTTATATTTATTTATTAACTATATATGTAGTTTATATGCTCACACATATAATCTAGAGGGCCTTAGAAAACTAAAAAAAGGGAAATTGTCCTGTAAAAAATTTACGTAAGTTAAAATGAACTTGCAAATTGCTGTGGAGCTCTGGGCTTTCCCAAAACACACAGCTGTGTGTCCCCCCAGGTAGTCAGGATGAGAATAGCCCCATCGCGCCAGTATGTTCCCTCACTTCTTCTTTTTAGCCAACCCCTCCTCCATCTCCAGGCTTTGACAGCCATTGATCTGTGCTCCACCCCTGTCATTGCCTTTTTCAGAATGTCATAGAAATGAAATCATATTGTGTGAAGTTTTATGGATCCAGTTTTTTTACTCAACGGCGTGCGTTTGACCGTCCCCATGTAGTTGGATATATGGGCACTTCTTTCCTTTCCTGTTATTATTGTGTAGTAGTCCATTGTGTAGGTATGCCACGCTTTGCTTCCCCATGCCCCAGGTGAGGGTCATTTGGGTTGTTTTCAGTTTGAGCAATTATGAATAAAGCTGCTGTTAGCAATTTGTGTCCAGATTTGGGGGGTGAACACATTTCCATTAGTTTCTTGTAAAGACTTGAAAGCCATGTTGCTTGATCATATGGTAACTCTGATTACCTTTATATGAGAAACTGCTGATCTGCTTTGCATGGCAAATATATGCCACTTAACACATGGAGTCGGGAGAGTTCCAGTGGCTCTGTAGCCTTGTCTGCTCTTGATATAGCCATTTTTAGCGTCATTCCATTAGGCGTGGAATGGTCTCTCATTATGGCTTTCATTTGCCTTTCTCTGATGGCAGATGACATTGAGCCTCTTTTCTTATGCTTATTTGCCATTCATATTTCTTCTTAGGCAAAGAATTTTTATATGACCATAAAAGAGGAAGTAGGATATATTAGACCTTGTGAAAATCATTAAATTTTTTGGTAGATTTGGGCGGTGTATACTAGAATGAGAAAAAATCTATATTCTATCATCTGTGTCAATTAAACATTTTGGTGGCACTAAATGTCAAAGCTAGGAAGCAAGCTTTTCTTGAAGGACAGCAAAACATTAGAAGATGTAGTGAAGGGAAAGGAAAACTAGGTGGGACAGAGGGATGTAGCAGTTGGCATAGGAAACCAAGGCTAGACAAAGTAGTTGCAGAACTGGATCAGCGAGCTGGGACAGTTTCAAGTGATGCCAAGGCATTTGAAGTGGCCCCTTTTGGGAGTGAATGCAGGGGAGTGAAGATGAAGATGCTAAAGTCTTAGAAATCGAGTGTTAATTCCACGAAGTTAAAAGGTTACTGTGAAGGTGAAGGAGCCAAAGGCATGAGCAGAGAATGAAGTGGACAGTTTATGAAACATTTGTTGAAACCATTGGGGAAGGTAGGTGAGTGCCTCTGTCACATGCAAAATTGAACCACAGAGAATTCGGTCTGTTCAACCCATTCTTATCTTTTTCCTCTCTTCTTTCTTTGTTCGTAAGAAAATTTTCATGGAATTAATAGTATTCAAAGCAACAATCCTAGGAAGCATTGATATTTTTCTCATATAGGGCAGTGTTGTTTGGAGTGGAAAATTTTAATCTCTCCTAAGGCTGACTCTAGGCAGCATATGAAAAATTTATGTATTGACATGCAGGTCATAGAACACAGTTGTTATGTTACATCCAGACATCTGCCACATCAGAAAGCCTGGCATTCCTATGCTCCCATTCTCATTGCTGTAGCCTGTCCGGTGTCATATTTTTCTTAAGAGCTGGATATCTGTAGCTAGAATGTTATTAATCACAATAATGTGATAAATCTTGACCTTCAGACACAGAAACACCAAAATAAATCAACCTGAAGAGAAATTTCAAGATGCGTTTTATAAAATGTTTTGGATAGGCATTCTCTCTCTTTTTTTTTTCCATTTTCCGATTCATCATACTGAAGTAACATGTCAGCGCACATCAAGAAGCTGATCCTGCATTGTATCTGTGTTTTATTTTATGAAGTGACATTTATCTTGTGTGAGTATATTTTGGTAGTCATTTTTATTAAGGAGTGATGTCTCTCACACATGCTTGTCTAGATCTGTGCCGAGTGACGTGAAGGGACGCAGTGCTTAGTCCTCGGAGGATTACAGTCTAGTTAAGGAGAAAGAATAGTTGCCCACATCAGCCGGATTTCATACCATAGGGTTGAGACATTAATTTTACACTGTCATCTTTCTAAATATTCTCTGTGTGTTGGGGACAGTTTATGAACTGGAGCATCACTAAAGTATGTATTAATGTTGCTTTGTGGAATTATGATTTGGATACTTAGGAAAAGTGAGAACAGCAATCTAGAGTGGAAAAAGTCAAAAGAGAACACACAAGGATAAATGTGTATGTTTGTGGGGGAAACTAGTGAGGAAGCTGTGGCAGAAGGGGTAGAAAACAGGGTTTGAGAGCTTGTGTTTGTCATAAAATGTTTATGTGCAAGTTCATTGGGAAAGAGGAGGAGAGAGGAGAAAGTTGCATTCAAAGGAAGCATTTTATAGTTCACAATTTGAGGGAAACAGGAATTTGTGTTGAAGAAATCCAATGACAAGCTGTCATGTCCTTCTTGGCTAACTCACAGATTTATCTCCTCGCTAATGTCTTTCAATTAAGCTCTGCATTGTCCCTTTTCCTGAATGGCATTTATGTTTGAATGTACATTGACTTAGCATCCAGTGATTTAATATATGTTTATCATCACAAATAGATTTAAGGAGTCTGTCTCCTCTATTAAGTATAATGTCTATTGTTACAATTTGATTCAGAAAATGGATTTAGAGGTCACTTGGTCTAGTGTCCTCTGAGTGGTCGCTGACCTCCACTCAGATGCTGTCCCTCCCACAGCTTCTCTGCTCTTTTGTTTCTAAAGGCTTCCATCTGTGACTTTCTTTGGAAGAATGACCTTGTGCTTTGGAGCCACTTTGCATGGACACAGAGAACTTGCAGTGCCTGGGAGTTTAGTCCTACCGTCCTCACCTATGATCCTGTCCCTGCGTCAAGGAAGCTTAGCTGGTGACTGACCGGTGTAAGTATGACAGTCCACCTCCATTCACTCAAGAAGGGATAGGATTGAGGCTTGTGTGACCAGGACCTCCTGTGGTGAGGCTCAGGCTCAGACTTCACCTGAGACCACACCCTGTTTGTTCCCTTTCTGTCTCTCTCCCACCCCACGCCCATCCCTAATATTGCCAGGGAGCACTTACTATATCACCTGAACATGAATCTTCATCTTCAGGTTCCTTGAAAACACTGACATCAGGCATTCTCACTTTGCTATGGGGAAACTGAGGCCTCTCAAAACAGAGGAGGGAAGAGCACGAGAGACTCTGGTGACAGTTCACAAGCGAGGTGGTGATGGGAGATTTATGGAGATTACACCTGAGGGGAGAAGTCAAATATTGTACAAAAATGAACAATATTGTAAGAAAAAAAAAAAAAAAACCTCTCCCACCAAAAAAGTTACTTTTAAAAATTTGATATAATTCACTCAGTTTAGTGTTCTTTTAACTCATCATTGGAAACATTTCCACATTATCATGAGGTGGCCTTCAAAAATCACTTTTAAATGAATTTTATTAACAGATATATTAACGATATGTAATGATACCTTTGTTACTGCATATTTAGATTTCCCTAAATTTCTGCTTATATAATGACCCTGCACTGAAGATCTTTTCGCATAAACTTTTGCTTACATTTCTGAGATTATTTATCAAGGATTGGTCACTGGACACAGAGTTATTGGTTTAACTTTTTTGAGCATTCTTGAGCCATATCGCCAGATTGCCTTCAAGAACCGATTAACTGTGCCTGCAAACCACTCCCAGTGCACATGGCTTGTTACTTCTCCAGAAGTTCTGGTCACTGACTGATGATTGAGTCATGAAATGTTTATTGAGCACTGTCTATGTGGGGGGCCTCTTGCTAAGGTGGCAGGTCATTGCTACGTAGCATTCCTTACTGGCTTTTCTTCCTGTGCCTTTTTTATTCTCTGACATTATTCAGATCTTGCTTCTTCTCTGCTTGCCTAGAACCATGACCACTCTGATTTTCTTTTTATGTTCTCTTCTTACCTCTAACGAGAATTATGTCAGTCTTTGCTTATCTTTCACTGTTGTTCTTTCACAGCATTTTGTTCTCTTTCAAGGTCACAGTAGCTGCTCTTATCTCTCTGAGGATATTGATGATAATCTGGAGGATATTTTTATTTTTCTCCCTTCATGCTTCTTTTTGATCCCAGTGACTTTTTGATTGTTATTTTGTTTCTGTCTTTCATAGTAAATACTTGTCTTAACTTCCTGGTTTTCTTGGTCTAATTACACTTAAGTATGAGACATACATAACAGCAGTAAGCAAGTAGAAGAGGGTTACTACATGCCAGGCTCTGCTCGAAGTACTGTGTATTTAATTCCCACCATACTCTTACTATTCCCATTTTATAGATGAGTTATGAGAGGGTGATACCTTGCTAAAGACCTGTTAGCCAATAAATAGCAGAGCTAGGATTCCAACCAAGAACATTCTGATCCGTTGTCGGAGCACATAACCACACGTCACAGTGCCTGCTTACCAGTGTTGTGCAGGGTGACAGCAGGTAAGGCTGGTCATTGAGTCTAATGTTTTATTAGACTCTGCTGTGCAGATCCTGCCTGCCGGCCAATGTTCTGGGATCTAAGGAGGAAAGAAGACTGATAATCTTAATATTCAGTGCATGAATGTCCCTTACTCCAGTTCCCCCACTTCCACTAAAGCACTTGCCTCCAATTGGCCTGTGGGGTGCTGTTGGGGAAGGCGGGTGGCCTCACTGTGCTGAGTAGAAAAGCATACCAGGGAGTATAACTGACTACTTCTTTTATATAAAAAAAATTAACTTTGAGATATAATTCACCCATTTTAAGTATGAAATTCATTGCTTATTGGTATACCCATGCAGTTGTGTAAACATCACCCTGATGTATTTCAGAACATTTTTAGATTAAATCGTGTACCCATTAGCAATCACTCCCTACTCTCCCTAACTTGTGCGGCCCAAGGTCAGCACTAGTCTATTTTCTGTCTCTGGATTTGCCAATTCAAGGACTCATACAGTATGAGTGATCTTTTGTGACTGGTTTGTTTACTTGGGGTGATGTTTACAAGATTCTCCCAGGTTGTAGCATGTGCCAGACCTTCACTCTTTTTTGTGGCTGAATAATGTTCTGCCTCTGCATGTATCACATCTTGCTTATCCATTCATCAGTTGTTGGACATTTGGGTTGTTTCTGCGTCTTGGCTATTATGATAACACATTCATGTCAGGATTTTGTGTGGATATATGTTTTTAGTTTGCTTAAGAGTAGCATTCCTGGTTCATATGGTAATTATGTTTAGTTGTCTCAGGATTGTCAGGTTGTTTTTCAAAGTGTCTGCACCATTTTACATTTGCAGTGTGTGGGGATCCTACTTTTAAACTACTGCTTAAATAGATTTTCCATCAATGTTTAAGTCCTACCTTCCCAGTCACTGCCTGAGTGTGTCGGGATCTGAGGTGTTGGAGCTCTTCTCACTGTTAGCTTCCCTCTTGGCTCTTTTCTCTGTTAAAGGTTGTGCTGTCATCTCTTCCCCATCTTCTTGTTTTCCTTGTAGATACACATTTTTTCTTCTTTACCATTTACTTTTATTTTGATGAGGTTTCAGGATGTGCTAGCGATAAGATTTCAGTGTTCATCTTCCCAGTAGAAGCTGGAAATTCCTTCAGTTTTTTCTCTTTTAAATTCATGTAAATGTGGGCCTCCCCTGGTGGCGCAGGTGGTTGAGCATAGCGCTGTGGGGCTGTCCGCAGCCTCCACCGGCTGGTTCGATCCCAGCCAGCCAATGAGGGTCCCACATGGCACAGCAGACCTCTCCTGTCGTGCCCGCTGCTCCCCTCAGCAGTGTGTTTCGTCAGTCTGCCTGTTCTGTTCTCTGCTCTGGCTCTGGTGAATCCTCTCACCCTCCCATGTGTCTGACCTGTACCCCGTTCTTGTATGGATAAATAAATAAATCTTAAAAAAATAAATTCATGTAAATGTTAATACTTCTTCTACAAAATAACAATTAGAATGTAACTCTATTTTATGAAGTAGTGTATCAGTCTATCTTTTCCTAATTGTGTTTCCTTATCTCTTTGTCTTTGTCCTTTTAATCTATTTATATACCTCCCTTCTCCACAGATGGAGAGAGAAGGTTGGCACATCGATCACCTAATATTAACAATGTTTATTTTTTTATTTTTAAAGATTTATTTATTTATTTATTTCTATAAGCACTGGGTACAGTCAGAAGCACGGGAGGGTGAGAGAATTCACCAAAGCCGGGAACAGAACAGGCAGACTGAAGAAATACACTGCTGAGGGGAGCAGCAGGCAGCAGGTGAGGTCTGCAAGCCATGTGGGACCCTCGCCTGGAAGCCGGGGATTGAACTGGTGCTGCAGAGGCTGCGGGCAGCTTCGCAAGCCAGCCCTCAACCGCTGCGCCACCAGGGAGGCCCAACAATGTTTTAAGTTTCATGGGATCTGGGGTAATTCTTTGCTTTCTAATACTTGTCTTTTTTTCTTATTTAAAAAAAACAAGTATGGGTAAATTTTATAAAGTGTAAAAAATCATTATGTTAAAAAAGTTGACATCAGAGAAGTTAAAGGAGTAGGCGCCCACAAAGCAGGCGTGAATAACAGCATTAGATACAGGTGAGAAGTTGAAGATGGTGAAGGCTGCGGAAGGATCATTATTCTTCCAGTTGTAGACTGCATCCTTGTTTTCATTTCACAACTTTAATTTTGATGTCAGAGGGCAACAAATTTGTATCACACATATTCCATATTATGCTTAAGAATAAGAAATAACAAGACACTTATGCATGTCTCTAGAGGCTCATGTGCAACTACCTGAGGTTAAAGAAAACTGTGTTTACAAGAATAAACCTGTAATAAATCCTAATGTCTGAGAATAGCATAAAAAGCACATAAAACAAGAAATCTTATGTAAAATTGTTATTTATTGTGTTTGTGGTACTATCAGTATGACAACTGCCTATATAAACATGTTTCTCTTCAGCATGACATATCAGTAGAGAACCGTTTCTTGGGGGGAGGAATCTGGTATCACCCACAGAGGAAACTTTCTGTCTCAAGGACAGGGTGAAATGGAACTCAATAGAAGGAGGAAAGACTGGAGAACAGAGGCATTTTGTTGAGCATGAACATTTCTCAGGTTGGGCTCACGTAAGATTGCACCTCCCCAGTTTTGAGTCCTGGGCTAGGAAAGCAAAATAATTTTGTTACCTCCCAGCTGAAAGTGCAGTGCACTACATTGCGCACAGGCCTGAAAGCCAAATCGCAATATTTCTCACCCTGAGCAAGAGGAAGCCAACTCCTCTCTATTTCCTTCTTTCTTTATTTGCTTCTAATTGTGGACTTTGTAACCACCTTTCCCTTCAATTCTAATTCTGGTTATTTCCTGTCTATCAGTGAAGTAGTGTAGAAAGAGTGGTTCAGGAACCACTAGCATCAATTTCACTTGTGATCACTTAGAAGTGACTGTTGTCAAGCCTCCCCCCAGACCTGGGAAATGAGAATCTTTGCAGTGGGACCCAGGAGCATGCGTGTTTGTTCTCCAGGTGAGCGCCAACTATCTACAAGATATCATTTGTTATAACTGGACAAAATTTCTCAATAGTGTTGGAATTCTCCATGGTTCTCTTATTTTTGTATATCTTATGAGCAGTGGCATTGATTGACCTTTGTTCTAGACTCTTTTCTTCAGATTTTTGTATGACAAACAGACTTGGAAGGGAGAGATTACGGCCTTTTGGAGGAGAAGGTAGATTTGCTTACTGTCTAGTATAATAAAGGTAATTTTTTTCCAATGGGACAAAGGGCAAGCATGCTGACTGCCCATTATAAAAGATTCAGGTTCCCAAGGCTTGGCTTTACCCAACTGTGATGCTTCCCCGGGGCCCCTCAGTCTCACCCTGGGGGATATATAGAGTCATAAGTATCGACACAAGCA